CATCCGGCCGCCCCACCAGTCGCCGCCGCCAATTTCGGTGCCCAGGCCGGCCGGCCCATGTACATACCTCCCCCAGTAGCACACCACCTCCCAACGGCGTTTGGTAGGCCGTTTTCACCGGCGTCGCAGCACCCCGATGTTGACACCACCAACCCCTCGCCTCCCCCTGCCAGCAGCACACAAGTGCGGCTTCCTCGCTCGTTGGATGCTGCCATGTACGCCTCCACGCCGACAGGCCTGCAACTTGGTCTCGGAGAGACCCGGGGCTCTTCACCGGCCGACTTCTTCCACGACGCCCGCAAGGTGTTCGACGGTTTGCCTGCAAGGTACAAATGGATTTCAGCGACGATTACCTTTCCCGCAATTTCTTTCAAATGTATTTGAGACAATTTAAATTTTATTTGGCTTGTAAACTATGAGATATTTATTTAGTTATGAAACTATGAGATATTTGTATTTTGTTTGAATTATGTGAACTTGGGTCAATTTTTTTTTGATATGTCGCAAAAAGAGCTAGAAAAAAGGCCGCAAATCGGCCGCAAGGAAGAAAATGCGTTGACACGTTAGGCACACTGCCGACCCAAGCAGGGAAGAGGACGGGCACGCCGATCCAAACAGATAAAAAAGAACAAAACGCGCATCCGGCGCCTTGGAGTTGCTCTTAGGCCCCTCCCAATGCTCCATCTTGTATAGGTGCTAAGCCTTCCACGTAGGCAAAAAAATCTGATGTGGCAAGTTATTTAAGAGGAGAGAGATGGGTGTGGTGACCCCAGGAAGAACCAATGCTAAGCGCGTGAACCTAGACAAAACATTTAAAAGAAGGGAGCCCATCAATACATGAAGAGCTTTAGTTGCTAAATCATTAAATGAAGTAAGCTTAGCAACCATAAGCTAAGCACCTATGCATTGGAGAGTATAGTTGCTAAGCTATTTAACGTGCTTAGCACCTCATCTAAGCACCCATGCATTGGCAGCAACCTTAGCTCAGGCATGCCTTTAGCTCATCATTTCAGCAGTGGGCCAAGGGGAATCTAGCACAGAGACATGGGGAAAAAGATATATGGCATTATTGGTTGGGACCCGGTGGGCAACCGCTGCACCAAACTGAAGAAGGGAAATTTTGGCGCTGTTACTGTATTGAGAGAAATTATTACCCGGCTGCGCTGCTGTTGCTGTAAAGGTATGCACTTTCTGCTGTTGTTCAATGAAGGAACAAGCAATTGTATTGCACTGAATTAGATGATGCTGTTTGCACTGCTGTTTGTTGTTCAGTGGTAGTTTACCTGAACATAGATGATGCAGGTATGCAGTCCAATCGATTTACTTCTAACACACATATGACAAGCTACAAACTAAATTCAGTTCAGGTTCATGCCATTGTACATGTACTGCATTTGTGCCTTGCAGGTGTTTGATCATATGTGTAGAAGAAGAATGTGATGCGGCCTTGGAGCAGTGGTGCCATATTTTACGACAGCGGTTGGAGACGACACTTGCTCCTGCAAAAAAAAAACACTTTAGTGCCCAATTTTTTTACAACATCCTTTTTTGATGCCCTAAAATAGGGTGGAGATGCTCTTATACCTATATGAACATTAAATTGCACTAAGAAACATATAAAAAAGAAAAGGTTAAAAAATGCACTGATCTCCACGTAAAATCTCATTGACGAAGACTTGGTTAAGTATCAGTCGACTAAGATCTAGCTACATAAGAAAAAACTTTAGGAGGACTTGGCCATGAGTTGACGATGCAGGGTTCTTAACTTCTCAACTTCTGTGTTCACTTGTGTGTAATTACAAACTGGGCGCAAAATAACATTGAATTTCGATCATCGGTCGCTTCACAAATCGTACCAACAAGACGTACTGCCAAGCTATTTCAAGACATGCTAAAAAATTTATTTCAAGACATATGGCGATAGCAACAACGGTATAGGAAGATGTTTAAAAAAGGGTACATGAATGCATGCAAAATGAAATTGGAAATAGAACATGGATTTCTTGCCGCTTGCCGGTATCGCCGTTCCATTCACTGGCTCGCTGCCCTTGTCAAACACGGCAATCGTAGTATTTGTTGCATCCCCGGCCCGTGTACGGATAACCGGCCGGCGCCGGGCAGTTACGGACACAGCGTGGCTTGTTGGCGTCCAGGGCTCCGTTGGAGATGTCGCCGGCGCCGTAGACGCGGCTGCGCACGTCCAGGTCCATCGTTGTCACCACCGCGAGCTCCGGCGCCACTACATCCTCCAGCCTCATCGACGACGACGATGACTTTGGCATCACCGCCTGGTCAACGTTGTAGACCGCCGCCGCCGCGGCCCCCGTGTCCAGGCCAGCGAGCACAAGCGCAAGCATCACAAGAGAGATGCAGACGTTTCTGTCCATGGTTG